AGCAGTAACGAATTTGTGATATCAGGCTTCTCAGGCATGCTGAGCCAACTCTTAATGTACGCTATTTTCTTCTACTTGGATTTTGACGCATTTCCTGCCGCCGGACTCAAGTTTGGTAGAATAGTACCTTTGTTGGGTAGACTTTCATTTCGTATGAAATTGCACGAAGAATAGCTTTGATAGTCGTTCTGACCAGAAAACGATCACTGAAGCCCGTTATACTGCAGCCGTTTAACTTTAATACACCGTTAGGTTCACGCAGTCCAAAAGACATCCACCCTCATTTCGGGTGAAAACTGGCTGAGCTTTCGTCCATTATATGATAGACATCATCAGAGCTGGAACTCATTCTTGTAAAAGTTTTACATTAATATTTGGTCAAGAACACTAACCAGGTGTATAACTTACCTTCTATATATACTCATATATAAAAAGCGAGAATGCATATGTAGGTATAGAATAATGTGACGTGACCAATGTGAAATTTAATTATCTTTCAAATTAGTCATGCTACTTGAACTTTTTCATTACAATCGATTACGTCACGTGTATGCAGAACTATAAGGCTTTTAATTACACTCTGCTGATAGTCACTAAATCTGTTGATACTTAATATGAGCTGTCATGTGCACTAAGTCATTATGTCATGGCAACTGGTTTTGAGCAATACTTTAACACTTTAACTATCTCTCCAGACTCCAGACTCTACTCTAACGCATCTTTTTTCTTCCACATCGAAGTGCGCCTCGAGCCCCTGCCAATCGCGTCGAGAGGACAACATCAACTGGGTGGATTCGTTCAACCGCAGACTTTCAGAGAGGCCAGACTTCACCTGCTACTTGCACCAGAACGACACATCAGCCCTGCTCCTACACAAGCTCTACTCCCGTGAACTGATGCTGCACAGCCTCGTTTGGCCGGCAGTCGTGGCGGCAACCAGTCTGATGCTGATTCTCTTCACCTGGTTGCTAGCCGGCTGTCGAGTCTGGGGTCAGGACAAACCACTGATCGCCTAGCAACTGACTAACGAGGCGTCTGGACTCCAACTTCCATCCTCGATGGGGCGAAATCAGCATACCTCCTGACTTCATCGATATGACCAATTCCTCAATCCCATCCCTCCTGACATGGTCATGGTTATTAATCATTTTGGCTTTAAATGCCTGGACAATCCTTTGCTGACTCACACTCGACATCTCGAATCTTCTTCCTCCCCATAGGTCCCATTCTGCTTACAACGGCTCGAAAAGTGAATATCGAAGCCATCAAAAAGTTGTTCATTCATGGCAGATGGGCTGCATTAAATTGCTTCTAGTTCGGGGACAACATTATGAAAATAGGCTTAGTCAGCCTAATTCGATTGATTTGAGTTGAATGGAGATAGTTGAGTTTTTACTACAATTAAACAAATAGCTTTCTTTTCGCTTCAGTCGTCTCGAATACTATCCTCATTAAAGGCAACATTACGGACCTCGAATTCACTAGAGTTTTGAAAATTGCAAATCACTCCCAAACTTGAGAGAACCTATAGCTCATACTTTTGCAGAAATAATTAATAATAATTTACAGATTAATTAAGATTAACGTCAAAACAGATTTAGAGCAAACGTGTTTCGAGTTGCACAGACGGTCTGATTAGGCATTGACTTCCTCTATTCGCTATAGAAAACGCAAATTCAACAAACCATATTTCAGCACGTAGTGGTTTGCGTATTTTCAATTACAGTTTACAACCACTTCCTCTGGCAAGATTATAAGAGAAAAGCAAGTCAAGTCTACCGTTGAGGTGGCCGAAACGAGTAGAAGATTAATTTTCTTGATAAAAAAATGAAATGTTTGCTGTGTTCACTCAATGTTTTGGCCTGAATGAGTCTTACGCTGGCAAGTGTCTTGGCCTGATTGCAAAACCGTCAGTTTGCTCGTGCACATCGTCTTTTGATCGGCGCAACCGTTAACTTTCTATACTTTATAGTGCATAATTCATGTAAAATAAGTAATTCTCCCTCAGTAAATGTTAAGGAAGGTAGGTAGAACTTTGGCCATTGAAGGCGTCCAGAACGAGTCTTATAGTGGCCAAGTGAAATTTAATGACTTAAAGAAAATAATGCTCTAATCTTGTTCCACGTTCGAGCATATAGGCAATAATTTGTCCTTTAATGCTGCTGTCAATCAATTTATTGTATTCAGATTATCTAAGTGAATCATAAATTAAGACGGTCTAAGTGTTTGGAAAGTTAAGGCCTTTTCAATTCTTATAAGCTGCAAATAAGGTATATTCGCGTAATTTGAATTTATTTAACGAAAAATTGAAGTAAAAAAATAAATAAGCTGGGTAGATGTGCATTTAGGAGGCTAATACACACGGGTCTCCTTCTTAACTCGTTTTCCAATCATGCATATAAAGTCAATATGGGGTCTATGAGATCGACGAGTCTATGTCAAAAAGGTATAAACTACAGGGACCACGAAATAGGAAGATTAAGAAATCTTTTGGCCCAAAACAACTAACCAAAATGATTAGTATATAATTATTTTTCCATACTATGAAAGAATAGAAGCTGCATAATAATATTAGTGACGAAATCGAACATAGCGAACAGAATGAGAACAAGCAACTATCTAAAGCAAGATAAGCAGATAGGCATTTTTCCCAGCTCCTTATTGTGGCGTTCAGTCAAAATTGGGGAGGAGGAAAAGCTATCATTTTCCTCAGTTGGCCGTTGTCCAAGAATTTTTGGGTTCCAGTTCTCTTTCAAGGTGTTAGAGACTTTCGTGCTCATATCATAGTGTATGTGGGAATCAGACCTGCCGACCCCAACACAAAACCGCTTCTTAAGGTATATCGATCCGAAAATCGGAATGGGCCAAACACATGACCAACACATTGTATGTAATTAAATGGTCCCGGATTTAGCGTTTTACATGTTATAAGTAAGTTACATCCAAGTTAAACATTATTAAGCCTGTATAAATAAACAAAAACTCCAACATTCTAAATATGAGGAAATTATGTAGGAGGGAACTATTTGTTGCCGCTTGATAAGCTTATGGTGAGGAATAGAGAGGGGGCATAAAAGACCACTGAGCAAGAGTAGGCTGATATAGCCTCGAGTAAGTTATTCTATCACATTTGATATCACTTCAACCTTATACACAAACTGTACAAATACTATACTCCTAACTATGCGTCAATATTTCCGAATCAGACAACACAACAAACACCTATGTTTACATGAATTGCATCCATCCGCATGTATGTAGGGTTGGCATAAATTAATAAATCAAAGCATGAGATGTCTCATTATTATCTTAAAATTCGATATAGAAATTGATTAGGTTTGTAGCCGGCCACCTTTTTCCTTGGCTTAGTATATTGGTAAGGATTTGCATAGCCGATCATTTCTTGCTTTGACGATCTCTGTCACATAGCAAACGAAAGCTCAGTACAGATTATTTGGCGTTATAAGACAATGAGCTGACGACTTTGGGGTACAGTAAAAAATGTGTCACTCTAAGAAAATCCTCCTTCGGCCCCTAATTCTTATCAAAACCTATAATTAGTTGATAAAATTGTGAATGCATCTCTTCTTGTTTATATTTAGCGTAATAAAAGGACACGAGTTCGATTTATAAGTATCTTATTACGATCACGATTAATACTTGCAAACTGAAATCCATATGGATAATAATCACCGGGCATAATAAGTCTTAACAACCCAAATAAAAAATTCTCATTTCGCTAGTAAGAAAATTTTCGACTATAATACTTCGTCTGAATAATTGGTTTTATTTTATCGGTATTATCGTTGATATAATTGCGTATTGTATATATCGTATTGATATATTAGCATGATATAAAGTATATAAAGTATATAATGTATATATAATACTATGTGCTGCGCATACATTATATTCGAGTTAAATGAGATACATCGGGACTAGAAAACGATGGTCAAATTAGACAGCTGACCAAACAATGCTAAATTTTAAGCAGAGTCAGAAAGGTACACAATAAAAGGCAAGCTAACTTTTACTGAGCAGCAAAATATTCATTTAAATGAATTTTCAAACAGGTTGGAGAAGGCCAAGATGATGTGGGCTTAAGTTTGATCGCAGTCTCCAGATTTTCGCAACCTTGCCTGAGCGACAGGGAGGTTTTGTGGAAAGTACCTAGTCTTCCGTCCTCTGCTATAGTATTCATAATGAGTTCCCGTACCAGACCGATAAATTGGTGCATTCCCAAAATATCAGAGTGAAAAGAATTAATCGAAGGTATGAAGACCAAGATGGTGTGGCACTTTGTGTAGTCGTAGTCTACTTGCGTTGTATAGAAATT